CCAAGGTGACCACACTCTTTTCATTAAACATTCAGTAGTAGGGGGAGTGTCTGCTCTTTTAGTCTATGTGGACGACATCATAGTGACTGGAAATGATGAGAAAGAGAAGCATGAATTAAAATTGTGACTAGTAAAAGAATTTGAAACAAAGAAAGGAAATTGAAGTACTTCCTTGGTCTTGAGGTGACATATTCCACATAGGGGATCTTCATATCTCAGCAGAAGCACGTGATTGATTTATTGGCAAAAACAGGGAAGACTGGGTGTAAGTCTATCTCTACTCCAATAGATCCAAACTATAAGTTGGGAGAAGCTAAAGAAGAACCAACTGTGGATAAAAGAATGTACCGGAGATTAGTTGGCAGACTCATATACCTTGCTCACACTCGACCAAACATAGCATATTCTGTAAGTATGATCAGTCAATTCATGCATGATCCAAGAGAACCTCATCTTCAGACTGCCTACAGGGTACTGCATTACTTGAAAGGCAATCTGGGGAAAATAATCTTATTCAAAAAGAAAGGCGCTCTTACTCTGAAAGCCTACACCGACACTGACTATGCCTGCTCCCCAATGGACTCAAGGATTATGTGAATTACTTTGGCTGAGAATCATTTTGGATGATTTGAGAGTCCAATGGGAGGGTCCTATGAAGCTCTACTGTGACAACAAGTCAACTATTAATATAGCTCATAATCCTATAAAACATGATAGGACAAAGCATATTGAAATTGATAGACATTTCATCAAAGAAAAACTGGAGGTGTGTATGTCCTATGTTCCATCAGAGAGACAACTAGCCGATGTTCTAACAAAGGGGCTGAACAGTTCGAGTTTCCATGATCTTGTATCCAAGCTGGGAATGGAAGACATCTCTTCCTCAGCTTGAGGGGGAGTGTCGAGGTGTGTCTGAGATGGAAATAAGGTTGGGAGAATTAATTTGTAATCCCTTAAATTAAGGGAATTAGAATTAATTTGTAATCACTTAAATAGAGGGAATTAGAATTAATTTGTAATCTCTCAAATTGAGGGAATTAGTTAAATAGTTTCCAGATTTAGGAATGAGTCAGTTTCCTATTTTTTCTACTTGTAGTCTCCTATATAATACCATGTATTATCAATTCAAAAATAGAAGAAAATACAAAATTATTTTCTCCCCTTTCTGATTACCACAAGGGTTAAAAAATACTTTTAAGATTTAGTAGTGAGAGACCAACCAAATGCAGATACAAATGTGGAAATACTCTAAAGACGATAAGATGAGGAAGAGACATGTACGTGAAATGTAAGTGTCTAAGTTAGTAATTTTAAAATGAACATTGGACTACTTGCAAATCAACTTGACTAAGACATAATGCATACATCAAAAAGGCTGAAATAAAAACCATGTCACTCTTTTATGCCAACATCGTTACGATCTAGCCCGACGCTTGGAATTCCCGAAGTCGGGTACAGACGGTCTAACGATGGGAATTTAATTTTCTATATTCATTTTTTATAACTAAAATTTAATAAAATGAAAATGTCTCTAAAGAAATTAAATTAAAGTTGTATAATTAAATTTACCTCATTATAGATTGTCTGCACCTTCTATAAATATTTTATTTTCTATTGTTCAACTTTTAATAAATTAAAATAACCTGAAAAGTTAGTTTAAAACTACTATAAATTAAGCAAAACCAGCGAACACTCACACTTTTAAACTACAGTAACACAATAGAAAAAATAATAATATAAATGTCAGTTAAACTTTTAGCAAATCAATATAAACATTTTAGATGATATTCAATAAATCTTAAAATATTAATAGTATATTTACATCATTTTATATTTGTACAACCATCATAAGAATATCGTCTAAAAATTGTACTAATTACAGAATTTCAATATCAATATCATTTTACATTTACGTGCACGGGTACCTTAGTAATCATCGGCTTGCACCATAAAAGGTAACTCCATCATAGTCAGTTATGCACTAACAAACAGCTAATCCAGACATCATTTATGTGTTCATCACATTCAAATATAATATATATATATATATATATATATATATATCATTCACCAATGCATGACAGTAAGTAGTTATAAACTCTGTAATAATATGACCAATAAAGAAAAGGTGCATGTCAATCAAAATAAAGTTTTACAAATAACATTAACTACTAATACAAAAAAATTGAGAAGAACCAAATCATTATCATAGATTAAAAGTGAGCATTCATATTGATGTCGAATAATTTGTTATTTGATTTGTCTTGACGTCGATCCTTCTAAAATTAAAAGTGTAAAATAAACATGGTATCATATTAAAATTTATTTTATTTATTATATTATTACAAATTTAATAACATTTTATTATTTTATTTTATATAATCCTGCTTATTTTTCTATTATTTTTTCTAAACTTATATATATATATATATATATATATGTATATTAAATCACTTAATAAAAACCTCTACCTCCTTCTGTCAAAGTCACACGAGGGATCTCCCTCTACTCTTCTTAGATGGCCTGCTAGGGCACACAACATAAAGATTCATTCAATGCTCCTCTCTTCTTCTTCACAACAAATTTCTTCCCTTTCGACTTGATCGGACCTACCTAAGAGCGTAGCTCTCGATTCAATGGTCCCATGACCATTCCAGCAAGCTACAGCCAGTTGAAATGAATGGGATGCTTGAATTTGTGGCCAATCTCAAAAATGGAAGTGTAAGAAATGTCTCAATTAGCGGGAAAGAGAGATTAACACTCACCAATTTCTCCGCGGATTTCTCCACTGTACACATTCCCGACTCCAGCTACAGTGCTAAAGTCGCGGTTCCCTTAGACCAAGACGAATGACGCAAGGGAGGGGAATGCAGCATATAATATGATCCTAATCCTATCTCATCCATCAGATCGAATCCTACGGTTGAAAATCACGATATAGGTTAGTTGGCTACATTGCATACATGAGAGATTAGAGATAATTAAAATTAATTAATTTAACTAAACTTAGAAGTTCAGAATTTTATAGCACTCATTCCATTCATAATTAATATATAATGGTTTATATAGAATTGAACAGTTCGACGTGTAGAATTTTAGAAAATTGCTTCAATTGAATTATAGGAGGTGCGAAATTTGGGATAATTTTTAAAGTGTTGAAATATTGACTTCATTACTCAAAATTTTAGGTATTACACAAATTGGACCAGCAATGGTTGGTTCAAATTCTTTTTTATTAATCTAACAAGGCGTAACAGACATAGTCAAGCATATGTGCTAGACATTTAGAGAACATTACTGATCTGGAGAACTCCAAAGAGATTTGGTTGGGTTGGTGCTAGACATTTAGAGAACATTATTGATCTGGAGAACTCCAAAGAGATTGGGCCATTTTAGCGACTACAAATTCTGAAGGGTTGCTATTGGGCGTATGTGCCATAACAGAAAAATTAACTGTGACAAATATCTCTTAAAACATACCTAAAAAAGACAGCATAAAGAACCTGTGTCAAAAAGTAATGCCAAGATGGATAAATCAAACCGAAAAGATAATAAATACTGAAAACAAAGCGTCAATGGATATTTTGCATATTCTAGATTAAACAATTCTAGAAAAAGGAAAAATCAATAATTACATTTCAGATTTTGAAACGTAGATTTCATATTTTCAACATGAAAAATAGAATATAAATAACGAAAATGCCAACAATTGGGTCACTACAAAAAGGTTGTAATATGGCTGTTAACAATGATCATAATAAAGAGTACCCTTAGCTCCTAAAAGTTGCATATGCTGCTATTTTCTTTTCAAAATTCACATCCACACCTCATAACTCTCATGTATTTAAATACCCAACACTTAAACTTTCATATTACATTTATGACACTTTGATATCATAACCTATGCATGAGAATAAGTATTTTACATTTAAGAAGTAATAGTGATATTTTTTATGTAATATTAAAATTTTGAGTGGTATGCATATAAATATGAAAGTTTAGGTATTAGACAAGTAAACAGATAAGAATTGTGTCGTTTCTATGTAAAAAGATAAGAATTGTGCCGTTTCTATGTAAAAGCCCCCCACCCTCCTTTTTTGCATTTATTCCTTGCTACCCTCAGCCCTACGACATTTATACTGCACAAAACAATCAAAACATTCATACCCTTAGCCTGCACTTTTTGCCGTGCATTTACATTCAAATCAAAAAGTTCAAATTGAAGCTACTAAATGCTACACATATTGGTATTGAATTCATTCTTCATGAAGTGGCTTGTCAAGTTTCCAGAGAAAGCAGTGATTGGTGTGCCAAATAAAATGCTCGGAAGCCAAAATTTTTTATATTTGTGAGTAAAAATAAAATATAAATCTTCAAAAAAATGCTTGTACCAAGAGAGATAATATTAAAGAGATAAAAAACAAAGGAAAAAAAAAGCTAATAATGTACCAAGAATGCAATTAGTTTAAGTTGTCATAAAACTTAAGACAATATCATCCAATAAGAAAAACTCTTTGGCAGTATTTGGCTGCCCCGAATTTAAGATAAATAGGATTCAATAAATCTGGGTTTATCAAATTCATATTTGACGGAGACATGCTCGCGAGCCACAACAGAATAGCTCCATTAAATCCATTTGTGAATCCGATTTGGTAAATCCGGATTTACATCGAAAAATAGACAAAAGCAGAGAATATTTTATATAGCCGAGTGCAGGGATTTAATTTCTTTTTTTTTTTTTTTGATATTTGGTAGGATTTACTTTAAATTCATGGCTAAATCCGGTTAGAAGTATGCTACCAAAGGCCCCCTTAGGTTTGACATTTTTCAGCATGCCTATTGCCACATAGAAATTGGTAGAAAAGAAACCCTACCTCACCAAGGAATCTCAAATCCATTTCCTCTGACGTGTGACGCGCTCCACCATGTCCAAAAATGTAGGAATTCAGACCACAGCTAGGGCATTTGAAGAAGCTCATGTTCTCAATCAATCCCAACACCTGAATAGAAGGAAGCATAACGTGATTTAGTACCATAGCATTAGATTATCCAATAAACTGTAAGAAAATCATTAGATTATCCAATATCCTTAGTATGCCTATAACTGATGCATTAATTATATTTAGCGAGCTTATAACTAATGCATTAACACTGCCATTGTTGGGTCCCAAGCCCCGATGCAAATTCTATATGGGATAAAGTAACAAATATTATTAAACAAGTGACAAGAGATGTACTGAGAGAATCAAAAGAAAATTTTTTTTATAAATAAAAATAGTTGGTGGAATAATATTGTGCAAGAAAAGATAAAATATAAGAAATTATGTATTAAAAATTGGTTTAAATGAAAAAGCTTAAAAAGTTGAGAAAAATAAAAAATAGCCCGTAGGGAGTCTAAGAACCCGTTCAGATTGACCTGTTTGGTTATCGCGTCGCGTCGGCGTTGTTTAAAATTTTCGTTAGAACGTGGCCGCGGATTCGACTCTGCGACCCGCGTTTCTCCTCTCTCGACTGCGAACATATGTACCCCACGACACCTCTTCTCACGTTACCCGTCTCTCTCGATCACACTCCCTTTCCCGCGATTCTTCTGCTCTAGGTATCTCTCTCTCGTGGATCCGTGACTCCGGTGGCTATTTTCGGTTGTGAGTGGGTATTCCGGCGACCTTTACATTCCATTCCCTCTCCCGCTCTTTCCTTCCGCTCGAATTTTGGTGGTTTGCGCACTCTGTGCTCTGTGTGGTGGAGGTACTACTTAGGTTAGATCACTTTGGTTGGTGGTTATCCCATATGGTGTTTATTCTCTCATCCCCTCTCCCTTTTTCTTCTTCAGCTCGGTTTAGTGGTTGTGCGGTGTTCCCTCTCATTTCTGTCTTCTCTGTTCTTCACCACTTTTCTCTCTTCTTTGTGTGGTTGTGCGCACTATGATGGTTGGTTCCAACTTTTAGCTCGGTTTTGGTGGTTCTTTGTTTGCTCATATTTCATGGTTTTCAGTTTAATATGCTCGGTTATGTGGTTTTGATGCTTCATGTTGCATTTGGTTTATGCCTTCGATGCAATGTTGCTTGGTTTGGTGCTTTTGCGGTGAATTTGGATTTTTGGTGCTATACCTTGTTAGCAATGCTTTGGGTCCCCTGTATGTGGTCTGTTCGATTTCTTTTGGTGCTTATGCTGTGGGGAATTTGGATATCTTTATGAACTTTGAAATTTCTGAGTGGAATTTGAAAATTGGATGGAAATTGGTGCTGGAATTTGGTGTTGGAATACTGGCTTGGAGTTTGTGGTGTGGTGTGGATGTGGTGTGGAGGTTGTGGTGTTGAGTGGTTTGGATTGTGGTGTGGAGGTCATGGTGTGGTGTGGTGTGGTTTGTGGATTTGTTGGTGTGAGGTTTGCAGTTTGTGATGTGGTGTGTGGATATGTTGGTGTCGTGGTGTGCTTTGTGGTGTGGAGGTTGTGGTTTGGAGGTTGTAGTGTAGTGTGGTTTGTGGTGTTGTAGAGTTTGTAGTGTGGTGTGTGGATTTCTTGGTGTGGTGGTTGTGGGTTGGTGTGCTTTGTAGTGTGAAGGTTGTGGTGTGGTGTGGTGTGGTTTGTGGATGTGTTGGTGTGTGACTTGGAGTTTGTGGTGTGGTGTGGTGTGTGGATGGGCTGGTGTGGTGGCGTTGGGTGGTTGTGTGGATGTGTTGGTGTGGTGTGGAGGTGGCGGTGTGGGAGAGTTGTGTGGTGTGGAGTTGGTGGTGTCGTGTGTGGATGGATGTGATTGTGTGGATTTGTTGGTGTGGATGTGTTTGTGTGGTGGTGTTGGGCGGTTGTGTGGAGCGGAAGTGGTGGTGTAGGAGAGTTGTGTGGTGTGCAGGTGGTGGTGTGTAGTGTGGAGGTGATGGTGTAGGGTATTGTGTGATGAGAAGGTGATGGTGTGGTTTGTGTATGTGTTGGTGTGTGGTTTGGAGTTTGTGGTGTGGTGTATGGATGTGTTAGTGTGGTGGTGTTGGGTTGTGGTGTGGTGTTGGGTGGTTGTGTGGTGTTGAGGTGGTGGTGTGTGGATGTGTGGATGTGTTGATGTGTTGTGGAGGTGGTGGTGTAGGGGAGTTGCAGGTGTGGAGCTGATGGTATGTAGTGTGGAGGTGGTGGTGTAGGGTAATTGTGTGATGAGGAGACGATGGTGTGATTTGTGGATGTTCTGGTGTGTGGTTTGGAGTTTGCGGTGTTGTTTGCGGATATGTTGGTGTGGATGTGCTGGTGTGGTGGTGTTGGGTAGTTGTGTAGTGTGATGTGGAGGTGGTGGTGTGTGTGTGTATGTGTTGGTGTGGTGTGGAGGTGGTGGTGTAGGAGAGTTGTGTGGATGTGGTGGTGTCGTTTATGGATTTGTTGGTGTGTGGTTTAGAGTTTGTGGATGTGTTGGTGTGTGGTTTGGCGTTTGTGGATGTGTTGGTGTCGGGTGGTTGTGTGGTGTGGAGGTGGTGGTGTGTGGATGTGTGGATGTGTTGATGTGTTGTGGAGGTGGTGGTGTAGGGGAGTTGCAGGTGTGGAGCTGATGGTATGTAGTGTGGAGGTGGTGGTGTAGGGTAATTGTGTGATGAGGAGACGATGGTGTGATTTGTGGATGTTCTGGTGTGTGGTTTGGAGTTTGCGGTGTTGTTTGCGGATATGTTGGTGTGGATGTGCTGGTGTGGTGGTGTTGGGTAGTTGTGTAGTGTGATGTGGAGGTGGTGGTGTGTGTGTGTATGTGTTGGTGTGGTGTGGAGGTGGTGTAGGAGAGTTGTGTGGATGTGGTGGTGTCGTTTATGGATTTGTTGGTGTGTGGTTTAGAGTTTGTGGATGTGTTGGTGTGTGGTTTGGCGTTTGTGGATGTGTTGGTGTCGGGTGGTTGTGTGGTGTGGAGGTGGTGGTGTGATGTGTGGATGTGTTGGTGTGGAGGTTGTGACGATGATATTGCAGCATTACAATTTTTCTTTACATTATGATATTATGATATTGTGGCATTTATATTTATATTAATTAGTTTTTTTTTCATCCTAGTAATACAATGGTTGGGACAAAAGAGGTCGGTTAACCTTCAATGTGAGACAAACAAAAATAATATTTTGCGACCTTTGTCTCAAAGAGGTTGATCTGAAAAATAGACAAACAATTTATTTCAACAAGGAAGGGCGGCAGAATATTATCAGAAAGTTCAAGAAAAGTACAGACAGAGAATATGATAAAATGCAATTAAAATAAGTGGGATCAGCTCAAGAAGGATTGAAAATTTTGGAAGAAATTGAAACGAGAGTCAATGAACTTGGGGTGGGATCCGGTGAAGCGAACAATTGATGCTTCCGAGGAGTGCTGGGCAAAAAGACCTGCTGTAAGCATTTTTTAAATTCCCCCTAATTGGTCAACTTTTATTTTATTTTTAAATTGCACTAGATTTTATATAAATTTGTATGTGATGACTACTGCGAAAAAAATTAAATTAAGTGAAATTGATCCTGAGTTGGAGAAGTTGGATCGTGTGTTTGGGGGTGTCGTGACAACGAGCAGCAATGCATGTGGCCTCAGTGAGACGAGGTTTGGTGGCACCCTAAAAAATTTATGCGCTTACCAATAGGTGATTCCATCGAAAGTCCCAGTCCGAACCTCTATGAACTTGAGTCCACGAGCCGTTCCACACGTCCGCGGGTTGAGAATAAAAAGAAAATTGGAGCTACTTTCCTTAGAAGCCAGATATCACAATTGGTGGATTCATGCAGCAATGATCCCATTACATCTAAAGCAACTTCTGTCGACTAGGTTCTACAAATTCTGAATGCAACTCTGAAAATTTCTGAGGACTTCTCGTTGTACTTGTTTTCAATGGAGTTGTTTGAAGATTCGACCCAGAGAGATTTTCTCATCAAGATGCCCGATGAGCGTAGAGTGGCGTACTTACGATATTTTAATGAGCGCAAGAACATTTGAGAGACTTTTATTTGAGAGTTTATTTACAATCACATAGGACATTTATATTTGTTTATTATTTTTCATTTTGTTTTGGATATTTCAACTGCTTGGGACATGTCTTATATACTTATTCATTGATGCTTATATGTTTATTGTGTTGTTCGTAAACTTATATGATTGTAATTAATTCATTGATGCTTTTGTGTTAGTCAGTATGATGTCGATCTACATAGATGCAATCAGAGAATGACGCAGAAGGAGAGTTGTAGTTGTCATATGCTTGATGTACGAATATTATAACTCGTATATAGAGCGCTCCACTTGCATGACATCCTCATATGCTGGGGACAAATGGGTTAGAAAGTTGTTGTGGGCCACTCAATGAGATTTAACAATATGTTCCACATAACACAGGAGGTACTCAACGATCTGTTGGAGGAACTACACAAAAAAACAAACTTCATGGCTCTTTCAGGAAGACTTCGCGAGAGCTGTTGGCAATAACTCTCTACATATTATCGCAGAATGAATCAATATGATTGAATGCACTTGTAAGTTTTTCTTCACCAGACATAAAACTAACAAATTCTACATTCAAACGGACCCCCACAGGGATTTCACACGATGCGCAGTACATGTTCTTTAAGGTAATTTCTCCAACTTATTATATTAAATTTTCAAATAAATATTGTTATACCGTAACCCTTCGTTATCTTTCTAGAATTGTATGAAATAATCCATGGAACATAAGTTGATGCACGTGTTCCAAATAATAAGAAAATCGCATTCATCGGTCGTTGTAGGTCTCCAACGCAGAATATCATCGCATTATGCAACTTTAACACGTGTTTCAACTTTGTCATGACCGATTGGGAGGGCAGTGCACATCACAGCCGAATTTTCAAAGCCGCAACACAGAATAACAAATACAACTCTATACATCCACTTACAGGTACGCTTGAGACTGTGCTACTCTCTTAATTCATTTTTTACGCAATATTAATCATGCAATTCATATCAGGAAAACACAATTTGGTTGATGTTGGATATCCGTTGCAGCGAAGGTATCTCAAACCCTATT